GAGGAGTTCTGGCCTCACGGTGGGAAATATGATCGTACACAGCAGCATCAATCACCAGGTCTGTTTCAAGCGTCAGCTTTCCACTTTCATAGCGTTCTGCCAGGGATTCGGCTGAACATGTACCCTCCAAAACTTCGCACATCGTCAGTGAAATGTTGAAGAGCAAACCTGAGACATCTAGTGCACTGTAAAGCTCTGCAGCGTAAGTTGAACGGCAAACTCGAGACTGCTTCTTTGAAACATATGCTATAACTTGGATATCGTTGGCTCCAAGTTTTGGGAAATCTTTGTTTACCAGGCACACCAAACCACTCCTTATGGCCAAGTGGTCATCATCTTCGCCTTTGAAAGCTGAATCGCTGATTGCTACAAGACGCCATGGATTGGCGATGCGTTTGAAGCGCATAGCAAGTGGATGTTTCTTGATGTACTTGAGAAGGCGGTTCAAGTTCAAAACATCCAACGCTCGTGGCTGTTGCAACTTTCTCTGTAGCGAACCAACATAAACTGCAATGTCCAACCTTGTTTGTGTTACCCAGGCCACACCACCCAACAAAGAACGGTACAAATGTTTGTGGTGCTCATCAACCAGGTCATCTTTGGACATCACTCGCAGTTGAACTTCAGGAATCTCACGGAGCTCGGCTATGTAGTGCGCTTGGCTGATTGAGATACTTCCATCATCATTCAAGGAGTGTGCCAAGCCCAAATGGACGAAGTTGTCCTTTTCCAGTTTCACCGCATCAAAATGGCTTTCGAGCTGCGTCACAACGCTTTGCATCAAGTCTGGGTGTCCACACAGTTTTATGTCATCAACATGTATTGTCATCAGCAACACCAGCTCATTGTTGCGGTGCATACACAGTAACTGCTGATCAACTTGAGTTGCACGGACACCTATCTTTGTCAAAACGCGTTTGAGAGCTTTCAGCCACAAGCGGGGAGCATCACGCAAACCAAAACCTGGCTTCAGCATCACCAGGATCTCATTGTCTGGGTCAAAGTCGCTGTACCCTTGGATGGTACGCAAAAGGTGTTCACCACCTGGCGGAAGGCTTATTTGGACCTCCCTGAGTTCACCACCTTCCTCATGCAGTTCTTGAAAAGTCAAACCACGAAGAAATGCTTCAGAGATGTCAGCGCTCCACAGCGACCACTTTCTCTGCACTGCAATCGCTATCAACAATCTCTGACCCCATCTCGTTGAGGTTCCAGCAAAAGTATCTGTGGTCTGCTTGTCCAGGAAACCTTGAGCGACAAGACGTGCTTTTATTTTGCGCGATTTGGCTTGGCCATCTTGAATGTCCTTCCACTTCAAAACCCATTTGCTTTTCAAAACATTGCTTGCACCACTACGCTTGCCGCGCTTCCATGCACCATGTTTCACCCATCTCATCAATTCTTGAATCATCGCTTCACGGCATTTGTCAACATTCAGCAAGGCCTCATTGCGATCGAGGATGTTGTTGGTGCGCTCGATCACTGCTACTGTATCACTGCCGGAAGTAAAACTGAGTGAAAGCCATTCATCATGCTTATTCTTAAACTTACCAAGCTTTGGGGCCAAGGTTACATATGCAAGCATGTTATGGGGCATGAGAAGCTCTGGTGCTTTGGCAAGCTCATCTGTGCTAAAAACACTTGGAAATTCCCCGCAAGTTATGAAACCAGGGGACACAGGCATGGGCTCATGGGCTGTTCCAAGGAAGGCTATATCGGAGGTTACACATTGGAAATTATAGTTATATGAAGAATCATCAACTTCGGCAAACATGGCGGCTGATTCCTCATTTGCAGGAGGCATGGTTTCGGCTGCATGGTCATCAGGGCTTTCGGTTGGAGCATGTTGAACAACATCCACAAGAGGCTTGGGTCCTCTGGTTTTCAACACCTCTTCGGTTTTGTCACTCATGTTGGGCATCTATCTCAGGCTCATGCGATCCACCAAGGTGTGCAATGTCAGGTGCAACTTGCCTCAGCGACATTACCTCAGTCATGTCAACCATCAAAAACTGGACTACGGCTGCATCATGGTCACCAGTTATGCGTGGCAAATTAAGCATCTGATTTCCTGGAAGAAAGCAATGGTGCCACTCTGAAAGGCCGGGTGCATGAACATTCCACCAAAGCAAGAGTGTGTCGTCGAAAGCGACAGCTGGAAGGTTCTGGGCATGGGTGCCACATCTAAAACCTATAACTCCCTGCAAGTTCATGCAAACTGCGGACAGGTAGAGTCCGGCCGTCAACAGGTTTGAGTGGGACCTGTTCGCCTGACATTCAACCCAGTTTTGACCCTGTCTCATCCAACCCAAACGCAACATGCATCCTGACTGGCTTTCTACTTCGGCTTTGAAAGTTCTGATTGGACCGGAGGGTTTCATCAAGAAAGTAAGATAAACCATGGCTGTTCTCACATCTTGGATCCTCACGGACAAAACACGTCCTTGCCATTTGACATGCAGCAAACCATCTTGAAGGTTTGTCAAGTTAACCACCTCAGCAGGTCCATGCCAACCGCTTGCATCTTTGGTCAAGGGTTTTCTGTAAAACTCAACCAAGTCACCAAGTTTTAACTCCAACAACTCACCTGATCTGCGGGTTTTGGATGCTTCAGCTATTCGTGCCTTTGTGTCGGCTGTTGCTTGAATCATGCTGCTGATTGCAAGGCGTCTTATGGCATAGGCATCCCTATCTGAAACACCAACCCCAGACTCTTCACCAACAGTTGCCATCAGAGGTGGATGGCGGCCGAAAATGGCCTCATAGGGCGTGGCATTGCCCAGCTGGAATGGCAAACGCGGCTTCAGAGACTACGGTGGTGAAAGGAACAGCAAGTCCTTCGGCATTGGACTGATCCTCAAGCACATGTAGCTGTCTTCGGAGGATTTCGTTGTGGCGTTCGACCATGCCACAATGCTGTCCCCTGGCTCTGAACTCAACTTGAATGCCACGGCGATCCAACCAATCACCAAACGTATCAGTGATAAGTCCACCCTCTTGATCTGACAAAACAGTTGTTGGTGGTCCAAAAAGTCTGACCCAGCAGGCAGCGAATCCATCAATTATGGAACTTGGCTCTCGGTTTGCAAGCAAACTCACAGCGGTCCATCTCGTGCATGCATCTATGCAGTGGAGGATGACATGGGTTTTGTAAAACAAAAGGTCAATCTGCACTTCCTTGTTGAAAGTTTCAGGCAACCTAGTTGATGCAACTGAGCGGGGTCCAGGTCTTTGCCAGTGGGCGCATTTGTCGCAAGTGTCAATGATGGATGGAATCATTGCCAAAATGTAAGGGCTCACACCGGCTGCTTCTAAAAGAACCTGCATCTTCCTAGAGCCTGCATGATACCACCTCAAATGAAGCTTGCGCCAAGTGCGCCTGACAACACCTTCTCTGATGGACCTCAGTTGTTGTAATGCGAATCCCAAATCATGCTTGGACCATGCTGGAATGCCGTCTCCTGGAGGTTGAGCGGCTTGCACAATTGCTTGTTCACCTGGCAAGGCAATGGCATTTTCTGCTTCGGCATTGGCTCTGGCTGCTAGTGGTCTCGGCTGCTCAACTTGAACTTCGGCATCAGCTCTCCTACGGACAGGTTGTGCTTTCTGTCGGCGCCTTTCATCGGCTTCCTCTGGACTGAGGATTTCAGGAGCTTCTGCAGAATCGGCAGCTTCAGGCAAGGCAGGAGGCAAATCACCAGGTATTCCATCACCACGGCCCTCTTGCCGCATTCTGGAACTTGGGTCACTTGACGCAGGGACGCGTCCATCGCGAGGGTGAGTTGCAGTCCTCTCGCGCGACACACCTTCTGGCATCAACCTGGCAATTGCCCATTGGCAGTTTTCATCATTCGTGTGGGAGTCATGTGCACGGTTTCTCCGAGCAAGGCAGCCCGGGCAAGACCAAGAAATGCTTTCAACATCTTTAAACTTACAAGTGTCATCTCTTACGTGCTTTGGGTCTGTCTTCCGCAAATGGCTTAGGCATGCAGGACATGTATAGGCAGGTGCTTTGGGGGCATCACCTGCTGCGGCACTGATTGCTGGAAAGAATGTTGCATTGCTTGATTCCATGTCATGTATACATTCAACCACACCAGCTGCTATCCTTTCGCAAAGTTCTTGCGGCCATATCTGCATGTCGGAGCTGCGCACAGTTGGTCTTCCGGTTTCAGACCAGCTTCCGATGTGAGCATGCGGATGTTTGCCATTGCATCGCAAGTTTTGGAGATTGACTAGAAGTGATGGATGTGAAGCCTTACATTCTGTGGTCTTTCGGACTGGCCACCAAGGAGGCTTGTTCATACGCAGGCCAGTCATGCATTGGTCAAACACGGCAGTGAACAACAAAGGCTTTAATCGAACCCATTCCGGCTCATCATACAGCCCACTTCCATACGGTTGCTCCACAAAGGCATGGCGTCCGGCTGACACCTGTTCGGCTGCAACATTACCACTAAGGCGTGCAAGAGGAACACTTAGCTTACGGCTTTCAAGCCATGCATCGTAGTTGATCATCTTGTTCAGGTGTCCCCAACGTGAATAACCCTTGCATGGTGGGGCAAGAAGAATCACCTTGGGCTTGTTTCTACGGACGTATGCAAAGAGGTATTGGATGTCTTCTACTTTGTGGAGGTCAATTCCGCATCTGAGTTCGAAGTTCACTCCAGTCCTAAGACCATGGTATTTGGCAAGCATGAAAGTTGTTGTGCCTGCGCCACCAAACAGTTCCATGCAGTCTATTCCGGGTTCATCAAACTTGGATCGTTGGAAAAAGATTGAAGCCATGCTGCATGTTGAAACATCTTGCATCAATGCTTTTGGAAGTTGTTGAAACTCTGAACCAAAACATTGGAGGCTTGGATTGCCTACTGCAAGGCATGCGTAGTCATGCAGGAGCTGTTCACCGGCATACAGCTCTTTTTCATTGGCTTCGGTTTCATCGGTTGTACCTATTTGGAGTATGTCAAAGTTGTCACCGCAATCGTCTTGATGTTGCTCTACGTATTTCTTGCGGTGTTGGACGATGTGTCCTTCTGCTTTCTTTCGTTTCTGGAGAAAGCGCTTTCAGTTGGATACAGTTGTTGTGCTGAAACATGTTTCTCATGTGTCAACTGTTGTACTGAAAGTGGTTCAAGATGTCGCAGTGAATGAGGTTCAAGTGATTGCTCTGAAAATTGTTTCTCTTGTTGTTGAATTACATTTGGTTTGATTGCGAAAAGTGTAGTACCCACCCAGCGAAAACTCATGTTGGCAGTTGAGGAGGTTCTCCAGTCATCATCAATCAGGATTGGTGGCGATTGCTGAAAGCTGTTGGATAGGCATTGTTGGAGCTTGGTCTGGCGATGGCTTTCCAAGGCATGAAGTGCTATTGGGCATTCATTGGCAAGTGGAACATACATGGAGTTCCTGGGTTCAACATGAACTCTTATTAAACCATGCTTACCATGTGAAATCCAAAAATCACGCTTGGAGTCAAACTCGCTGGCATTGGAAAGTTGATTGGCTTTGAAGCCTTCACCATCAACAGAAACAAACTTTTCAACTGCATGCAAGCTTCCAAACCTAACTGCTTTCTTGGCTCCGTCAGCATCATGGTTGAGATCTTCGGCAAAGTTCGGTTGAGATTGGGCTCTCAACTCAGGTTGTCCTTTGGATGGCATCTGCATCGGCAAACCTGAGCTTAAGTGAGCTAAACATACCTGATGCATGACGGCTCTGAGAACATGTTCAAAACGTGCAGCAGCTTGTGAACCTATTTCTCTTGACTTCACATGTTGAACTGGGCCACATTGGCATTCACTGCCGTCGGCAACATGGAAATTGGTGAGCAAACGGATCTTGGAGCTGCACGGCATTTCACCTTGTTTCAGAGAAGCTTCATATCGACACCGTTGATGTGTGGTTCTCAAAAGTGTGCTGGTGAGTTCGCGCACAACTTGAAGATTCCAGACCTGACTGCGTTCACTGGCCTCAACAATTACCAACCTGTTTGAAGTCTTTTGTTGGGTGAGCAAACGGACAAGGTTTTCGGCACGGAGGGCATCTTGCTTGTTGCCTGTACCGGCACAAGGTCCTGCAAAACGAATCCACAAAACTAAAGGACACTGCAATGCGAGCTCGTTCAACAGCCTTTGGCATTGGGATCGGCTGTGAAGATCATGGTAAAAATGCACTGTTCTAAAGTTGATTTCTTGCAGCAAACGTTGTCGCAGGCCAACCTTGTCAGAAAATACCCAGGCCAGGTTGTCAGCCTTTGGCGTTGGTACCTCAGGCTTCATTATTGGCTTGGAAGTTTCTGCGGCCTTTGGCATGCCATCTGAAGGCTTGGCGGTGGCAAAAATGACATCAGACTTGCCACCAGCCTCGGCGTGTCAGTCACTGGCGCCATCACGGCGCTTTGGAGGTGAGTGTGACCGATCGCGCCTGCATGTCATGTTGAAGGACAGTTCCTTCTCGTCGGCCGTCTTCTTCTTGGCAATGTCGCGACAATGGAGTGGTAACACCCAGTGGCCTGAACTGGTCAACTCAAGATCAAATACTCGGCTGCCAGGACTCATCTTCACCTCAACTCCACCTGGGCCAGGAAGAATTAGTTTACCACTTCCGCAATCCATGATTGTTTGCATCTTTCTGAGAGTGCGGTTGCCGAGCAAAGGAGGGAGCATGCTATCTTGGATTATTGGGGCAATGTACGTCGCATCTGATTTCTTGTTAAAAACATCCAACACTGCCATCGGAATGCATGCTGCTTGGTCAGCAACCTGTGCAGATTTTCCCACACCTTCCACCGGAAGGGGCTTGTCCATGTTTCGAAGATGCAAATCTGTTTGGAGTTCATCGCGCATTTGTTGAGCTGTTGCACCACCTATCAGGTTATCATGCGCCCCAGGATCTATCAACAAACCAACAGTGCCATTCTGCCTTCTAGTCCTGAGATGATATGATCCCTCTGTGTTTCTGATACTGTCGTTGGGTCTCTCAGAAACTTCCCACCAAGGAAAACTTCCACTGTTTGGATCATAAATTGGGAAACCGGTGGCGCTTGAACTGGACTGAGCTGAGCTTCCCTGTGGCGGCTGTGAGGGATTGCCGCGACCATAATGCGGCCACATCGCATTTGGCATCACATTCGGCACCTGAGGCATGGCAGGCATGAGATACCCTGCACTTCTTGAAATCAAACTGTTTTCAAGATTGAGCACATGTCTACCTGAACCTCCAGAAACATTTCTGGCTTGAAAACCAACAGCTGATCCTGCTTCATCTTGTGCACCAAACCCAAGCAAAACGGTTTGCAACCCATTCACACTCTGCTCTCGCAACTGCTGTTGTTGATCACGAGACATTCTGATTGACCTACCCTCGGATGCTTCGGCTTGGCTATGTACATCGGATGCGTCGGATGTTCTATGTACACGGCCGGATGTCGAGGCAGGCAAATCGGATGCTCTATGTACACGGTCGAATGTCGAGGCAGGCAAATCGGATGTACTGGCGGATGCATGGGCGGCTGCATTGGTGCTGTCATCAGCAGGTGCACTTGAGCTTGAACCTGTTCCCAAAAGGATTGTTGTCGGTGCTGGAACTGCAGGCGGCGGTGATGAGGGCAAAGGTGCATTGGCTATCAGCGGCTCTACTTCACTACTGGCATTTGTGGCTGATGGGAAAAAGCTAGGACTCCATTTGGGGATGGCTTTACTAGGTGCATTGGGTGTCACAGGCTCAGGGTCTTCGGCAGTTGATCGTTTTCTGCTGCCTCCGGATGAGACAACACTGCCGGCCTGGGACACGCTTCTCAGGTTTTCCATCTCGGCTCCAAAGAAGTGGCAAAGACGTGGCTTGGCAGGGTCCCCAAAGGGTACTGGCAGGCATTAAAGCTAACTGCTGTTGGGAAGCAGGCTGCACAGCATTCACATGGGCTTGCTGGGGAACATGTGTTGCATATGAACCATCGCCTTGTTGATTGCGTCTTGGACAGCTACGCCATAGATGCTCTTCGGATTGACATATGTTGCATTTCAAGGTTTGGCCATTCTTATCCTTGGGGTTCTTTCTTTTGAACTGTGAGCCCGGCTTACCCCCTTTTCCCCCCTTACCACCGGCAAAAGAGTTTGGTGGGAGAAAAGCAGCATAGGCACCTGGCCTGAAACCTTTTCCACCTTTGAATCCTTTTCGGTATCTTCTGGGATATTTGTTTGAAATGCGTCGCCATTTCTTACGAGCAAAGGCATATTGCAAATAAGCTTCAACAGGGTCATCTGTTTCCCCAGGCAACGAACCAACACCATCATCTGAACTGGTATCAGTGCTGTAACCATCATCTTGAAAGTAACTACCACATGTGGGGCAATTTTCAACATGGCCGGCATCACATGGAAATGACTGAGTCGGCACTCCACTTGTCATGAGCTGTTCAGCATTTGCACATCCAGTTGAACCTGTGGCAAGTGAGGTCGCCCACGGATCAGGGGCCATTGGACCTCCGGCTGCAAAAGCGCTGGCATGCGGCCCATCAGGTGTGAACGTGGGAAAATACCCCTCAGCCGTATGAAAATTTCCAGGATCACCCATTGCACCTTGTGCTCCACCATGTTGCATTCTGCCTTCTTTCAAGTGAAAAAGTCTGCGGATCCTCTCAAGTAAACCACCAAAATCAGCTTCGTTCTGCGGCATCTGACCTCCAAGTGGGGGTAGAAGTCTGTCCCAAGCTTCAGCATTGAGGCCTAATGACTGAAGAAGGAGCCATGTCAAACCTGTCAGATTGATTGCAAAACCAGCACGTGCATGGGCTCGGTTTCGGAGGATGTCGAACCTCACCAGCAATGCATCTATTGTTTCACCAGGTTGACGTCTGAAAGCCAAAAACTCAGCTATGGATTTGGTGGTGTTCTCAGCTTCAAGTGGTGCGTATCGTCGGGCTAAAACCGTAACCAAAAGCATGAGGCCTGTCAATTGTTGTCCTGTTGCAGGGTCTGTGTCACCATGTTGAAGTTGTTGCGGTGTCAGCTCGCGAATCAGTTCCTTCGCGGTTCCCTGCACCTGTAAGGCTGCCACAGGACCATGTCTGACTGGATCCAAATCTGAAGCGCTTGCCCACAAAATCAAATCTGAAATCCATGACCTCAGAGAGTAAACATGATTCCTCTCTACACACCAGCTTGGAGGCACCTTGAGAGTTGCAGTCCCAATGAATGGGGGGCCAGCATCTGACTGATGGACGTTGGAACGCGGTCCATGTTGCATCGGATGGGGTCTGAATGGCGCCTGTTGCATGCAGCACACACTCGACCCTACCACAACCATTCCAGCAAGCAAAATCACCGTTCCCAAAGTCCAGTTGCTTGATTTTCCCAAAGTCACACGTTTAACCATCGTGCACCATCGTTTGAAGCGGCTTATCATGGTTCCATGGCTGTACCCAGTGAAATCGCTGTCATCTGCATGGTCAGAGTTTCCAGAAACATCATCCTGCAAATTCCGTCCGACAGCTATTTCACCGTTTCCATTTCCCCAATTTTCCAAAGCATCGCCAGCAAATGTCAGGGCACGTGATCGCATCTTGTCAACGCTCGCTGAATAACCATCTCTCACACAAGTGTCATACTTGTATGCAGCAAAAAATCCAGTCCGGTTTGCCAAAGACACATGCATCTGATTGTCTGCATCAACTGTCACGTCCAAGGTCAAACTCAGTTGGAAACTTGTTGCTGCTTGCGCATTGGGCTCGGTTGGTTGGTCTGGAGTGGCCGAGGAAAGCACACCGGTATCCGGGGTAACCTCGTCCGTGGTCACCAGGCTGCTGACTGCACTGTCGTCGCCATCTCCAAAACCCAGCTGCTTCCTCGTCGTAGTCAGAGCACCGGTCGTCGTCAATGTTGCATCAAGCATGGCTGAATCATCTGTCACTAGGAATTCCAATCCAGCAAAGACAACGATCAGGGTGATGAGAACCGTCAGCAAGGTTCGAAGGCAGCACAGGCAGGTAGCTGGAGCTTCC